CTCGTTACCTGTCACCCAACTTCTGAAAACCCCATCAATCAAAAATCCATACAAAGCTAACATCCAAAGGAAAATACCTACCGCATTAAAGCTCTCAGTCCTGGGACAATACAGCAGAGTGCTTTATAAGTCCACAGAAACAAGGGACTAAGAACTGTAATGTTGGCAGTAGTAACTCCTGTCTACTGATGGGTCAATACATATCAAGGTGGTATGGATTTACAGAAGGCATTGATAATAAAATGAGACCTGAATGCAACCTGAACTAAGACCGAGTTATGAGCAAACCCACGACAATTTAAAGTTCTTCCTCTTGTCCAGGTGGAATCCAGATTCTCCACGCCCTTCCTTTGCTTTTTAATACTGTTAAAGGTTTTTGTGAATTTGAGCCTGAAATCTCATTGATTTTTTTTTTAGTGTGTGTTGGTCACAAAGGTTTCGACTTCTCACGTGGTCTTCAAGGCACAAAATCTCATTCCCCACTACTTTCTGCATCCATTCAGAGAATAAGCCCACAAGCTCTTGCGGGTGCCTACCTGGTGGAGCTGGTAGGTTTATCCCCCTGACAACGAGAAGGTGCATTTCTGTGCTGTTGAGCTCAGAAAATATCCTGTAAAAAATAAAGACACAAGAAGGCACATTCATTCCAGTAGCACAATAACTCCTGATCCTCTCCCAGACCAGGATGCAATTGTTATTTGTCAGATGCAAAAGAAACTAAAAGTCACAGAGAACAGCTTACTCCTACACAGATCTTCTTTCAGAAATTACTGAAGAGCAAGGGAAGAGCGCGAGCAGAGAGAAAAACATTTATGAGGCATAGTGAAAAATGTAAGGAACAAAGCCTGAAGACACTAAGCCTGAGTGAAGATAGAGGAAGGAAAAGCAGTTGAAGTGGCAAAGTGTGAGAGAAGAAGATGGAGACAGGGGGGTGAAGATGGAGGTATTTTGAAAACAAAAGCATTCCAAACCTCAAGTTAAAAAACAATTACTTAATATTTAAATGGTTGGGAGTGTCCTCTAAAGAATGCTGAGCCTAACCCTACCTCCCAGGTTCAGAGTTTGCTGAAGCCATATAACCCCTAAACAAGGGCTAGAAACCAGAAGGTCATTTCAGTCTGCCTGAAAAGTCCCTTAGTTTTCCACACCTTATCATTTTAAAGGTTCTTTCCTCAAAGTGATGGCTTGGAGGATCCATTCCTTGCGCTCGTGCAAGCTGTAGGATGTCCATGTCCTTTTTACAACCTTGTGCCAGTTTTTCAAACCTATGAAACAGAAGCAGAAAAAACATACACAAACTGGAACATCAAAATAGAGTATTCCCCAGGTACAGGCCACAGACTAACCCTCGGACTAGAGGTAAAAAGCAGCTCAGAGATGCAAGCCTCACAATTACTAACTTCTTCACGTCAAAAGAACCTTTACCATCGTGCTCGCTCTCATCGTCTTTAGGGGGTCAGGCAGACTGGAGGATAAACTGACCACACAACAGGATGATTAAAGGCAGGCAGCAGGTCTTACCGACTCGTTTCTGTCACATTTCCCAGATGCATGAACTGCTTGGAATACTGCAGACACCTCTGTCAGCAGAAATAAAAGAGAAAAACACAAATGCACTTAATGGTCCTTACGCACACATTCATGATTGGCAGAGAGTTTTGAGAATGACAACCACCTTATTTAAGGAAAGTCAAGAATCCACAGCTTACCTAAGTCACCAAAAAAAAATCCATCCTCTTTCCTTTTAAATTTGAAGCTGAGCAGAGCATTTGTTTGAGTTGCTCTGTCCTATTACTTTTTAGTCATTTAATTTCTAGAAATGGTCTTTACCCAAGTGATTAGTCAATCACTCGGGTACTATCTTCAAATTCGAGTTTTCAAACTTGGCCCAATTTGATAGTGCTAAGCCTTCAAGCACACCCTCTGACTTCAAACAAGAGACATCCAGCTCTGACCCTCTTCACCTAATTAAAAAAAAAAAAAACCCACAGAAACAATAGTGGGATTATAATCATATTACTAACAATACCCAGGGATGTGTTACAAAAAGCCCATCATAGAATTCCCAGGCAATGATGAAGCACTAAAAGGAGAAACCAGACACCTCATATTGGTCCTTCAGCAGTTTTATGAGCTGGGTGTATACTTCATCTGCTTTCTGGGACAGCCTGACATCTTCATGGTGAATGAAGATAAAATCACCCTCATCATCTGTAGGGGGTGATGGCAGCTGCAACACAAGAACACCACCGTAACATTTAAGAGCCTTTGGAAGAAATAAGTAGACAAAAAGCAATCAGAATGAATGGAAAGGTCAGTGAAGGGAGATATGCTTTTTTTTTCTTCTCAAGGTAATTCTAACCTAACCACTACTTATACCACCACGTGACAATTACTCACGTCGTAAGACTCTGCAAAACGTCCTACAGGCCTAGTTCCCTGACTTTTCAGGTCATGAGAGCTATTGCACTGCAATATGGTTTCCCATCTACCCATGTATCAAGAGAAACCACAGAATCATCAGATCACGTGTGCCTGATCCTCACCCCCAAAAAGGGGTTAGGACTGAAGGGGGCGTGTCAAGAGGATGAGGCCAAAAAACTTTTCGTGGGGCGCCGGAAACGGACAAAGAGAAAAACTTCTTCCCTGTGAGAGTGACAGAGCATTGGAACAGGTTGCCCAGAGGGGTGGTGGAGTCTCCTTCGCTGGAGATATTCAAAACCCTCCTGGATGTGATCCTGGGCAATATGCTCTAGGTGACCCTGCTTGAGCAGGGAGGTTGGACTAGATGATCTCCAGAGGTCCCTTCCAACCTAAACCATTCTGTGATTCTGTGATTCTGTGACATGGCCAAGATGTATACTCCTACCCTAAACCCAGGAAACACTTTCAAGCTCCGTTGGAAGCCATTGCATACCAGGGACCAAATGGTTCACGAAGGCCAAATTTTCTCAGTCTTGCACATTTGAGGAGCAGAAAAAGAAAAAAACAAAACAAAACCAAAGATATAGGGAAATTTCAGGGCTCAGTGTCCATGCTTGTCACTTGAACAATTTTAACTTAAAATTTATTTCAAGGGATACTATTGTTTAAATCATTCACAGGTTTGATTGAGCTATGAGATGTCCAAGAATATGAAACAAAGAATACCTTATTAACAGTCCTACTAACCTTGGAAATATCAACAGGCTTGCCACTTTTTGCTTGCTCAATCTTAAGGTCAAAGGTCTTAGCTGTTTTGAGATATATCTTGGCCTGTTCAAGGTTATTTGCCTTCTTTGCTTTGACGGCTGCCTTCATGTATTGCTTCTTTCTGTTCTCCAGAAATTCCAGCTGTTCCCTAGCTGAAAAAACAGTTATATAAAAACCCTCACTCATCTACTACCATGCCCCTGAAACAGGTTTATCATGTTCAGTTTATAGCCAAAAAAGGTCAAAAGAAGTACAGATATCAACTAAGGACATTTCCTTACTGCACTTTATTGCTTCATGGACAGTTTCAATTTTAAGTATCAGGAAAGGAAACAAACCAACTTATTTCTACCATGGCATCCTCCATCAAAAACTTCACAGCACTTCACAAAGAGAGAATTGTATGTAGAGTGTCACAAAAGAAATTATAATCCCCTATTGGTAGACAGGGGACAGAGACTGCAGTACAGCTGATAAGCAATAATAGAAGCTGAATTCAAACTTCCAGCTTGACATTTTAATTTCTAAAAGAGGGTGAATACTATGGGCACATGAACCCTGAAAACACATCCTCTGTACTCCATTTCTTTTGCCTCCCTTAATCTGTCAGAAAAAGCAAATGAGCCAATGTGTGAGGGCACATTCAGACATGTCCACCTCTGCTTATTTGTAATTGCTTGCTATTTTACTTTGTTATTAATTCTTGGGTCTCCTCTTCTCTTCCCAAAACAATAAGGACAATCACACAAGTCAGAAAAAAATTGCTTTACGTTGTAACAGGTCAGTTCATCCTGCTTCTTTTACAACTCACTGAAAAGGGTACAACATGAGCTGATTACAGCCATTGCCAGAGATACTCATATTGTATTTGCCCCTGCACTCCACTCATGATTACATAAGCTAAACAAGACTTGCAAGAGGTGCCTATCTCAGCAAACATACACCAACCAAGCTAGTCAAGCTATCACACTATTTATACCACTGTCAGATGACTATCTGCTTACTCCCACCCTCGCAAAAAAAGCCTGCAGTCCTGCCGCTATTAGGAATTTATCCAGTCAGCCAAAACCAAACTAATTAGATAAGGTAGCTAGCCTAATTTTCACTGAGTCAAAACAACCAGGACACAGTGTGCTCTGTGAGGCTGAGACACAGAACAGAGGTATTTTCAAAGAGAATCTGTGGAAAACAGACTGAGCAAAGCTCTTTTATCCTCCTGATCTCGGCTCCTTGATTTTCCTGGTGCAAACATTAAACGCAACTGTTCCACTCCACTCCCACACCTCACTACACCTTCTACTCTCTGACAAGAAGAACAGATTTTCACAGTTGATCCATCCACTACGAGCAGCTGCAAGATACACTTCAGAAATCTGGGGGGAAGCAGGTCACATTTGGATCACAAGATATACTATGGTTAGTGAAATCCAGCTTTACTATAGTGAAGCACTGGCATTTTTCTGTGAAAATCCTAGAATATCAGTCAGTATGAATCCATCCATTTTCTTCTTGCAACTATTGGGCTTATTTTAAAACACTTAGAACCCCCAGGAGAGATTAATGGGTAATCACCAGGTAACATACGAGTTTATGAGCTGAAGAGACCGGGTATTATCAATTCCTTTACAGAATAAGCGTAGGGCAATTCATTTATTTAGAGACTAATATCACAGCTAAAGTGGCACAAATCAAATCTCAATGCAGATTCATAGATTTTCAGAATGGAACAACTACTATGCTCGAAACAGTGTTATTTACAAAACAAGTAATGGAATTTCCTAGAAAAAAGGGTTATGAGCTAATCACGACGGCACTAAAGAATGCACTTGTGCTCTGCAGCAGCCAACAAGGCAGTTCTGCTTTGTTCTGAGGGAACAACCCAAGGCAAAATGAAAGGAGGACAGGATTATGGTTAAGACATGGCAATAGGTTCAGTGAGTCTCAGCTCTGCTGCTGTGTGCCCAAATCACACAATGAGGTGGTGCTGTCCCAAAATTAATCTTGTACAGACAACTGTTTAGTGACCTTAGCAATAGGGGAGCTACAGAGATTGATGAATTATCACCTGCAGGCCAGTCTAGAGATCCTAGGATGAAACGCCAGGGAGAAACTGTTGCTTGAGGTCACTAGATCAATTAATAATTCACATTGGCAAGCCCGCCACTCTAATGAGAGCGTATCTGGAGTTCAACTGTGAGCGGAGTTAAACATTATGAATCAATACGCTTATTGCATCAGAATTAATTAAAAACCCAATCACCCTTATAATTACACATGCTGCTTCTATGAAATAAAGCCGCATGGCTGGTCTGGATCTGCCCTCCAGCAGACACATTTTGAGGCTCCTGTCAAAGGGAATCTGTCACGCATTCACAGGCTAACGTCTAAAGTATTAAGAAGTCTCTACCAAAGTATTAAACACAAGTAGTGCAAAGGACTTGCACATGGGTCACTTGGAATGACGATCCCTTCACCCTTACCAGCTGAAGAGAGATGATCCACTGACGCTGCCTTGTCTGGGGTGGAAGGTGATGTGGACTTCTTTACGTGTTCAGGAGAGCTCTCCTCCTCGGCTACAGCAGATGGCACTGTAATTGGCTTAACAACTTGTGTCGGCTTTCCAGGCAGCTGAGCAGGCTTCTTGGCAACCGGGGCCTGCGTCAGAGGTTCGTTCTAACGCAACGAAAAGAATTCCATGTTAAATGCATAAAATCTAATCCAGAGTTCAAGCATTAACAATCATGGTTCACTATATCAGCATTCTGATGTCACTTTTGAGGGGAACATAACATTCCAGACAGTAAATTTTAACTTCTGAGGCTTTATAAGCAGGGTCCTGCCAGCAGGTAGCTGACTTATGCAAGCATTGAATCTCTGCTGGAGAAGGAAAAAAAATAAATGTTCAACATGGTAGCGATTTCAAAGAGAAGCAGATGCATGCAGAAAAAAACCTATCATTCTCTACACTAAAAACTACTCTGGTTGAAAGCACAAATGCACAATCAGTAACAAAAATCAAAGAGTCAAAGAAATCAATCCAAAGTCTAAAGGCTTGTGCAGCCTGACAAGAAGCAGTAAGCTCTGAGCATCTGGAGGAGGCACAAACACAGGAGCTACTGGGAAGCAACATCAAAGTACAGAAATAAGTATTTCAGAACCATGTAAAGGGATGGTCAGGATCTGGGGAGTTGTCTTTGAAAATAAACCCCACATATAAAACAGATACGAAAGAAAAACAAGCCAAACTCTGGACCCATGGGTTCAAACTGTGGACAGTAACTGTAACTCCCATCTCATTTATCTCTCTCTTTCTTTCCTATATGATATTCGAAACCAAACTTACTGTTCCCTCAAGGACTGAAATCCTGTTCTTTTCAGACTTCTGGGAAAATTGTTTCACCACAGTACCTCGCCTGACTAGAAATCCAATGGACTCATCTCTGCCCACCAGAAGAGTCACGACTTTAACTATTACACATATTACCAAGAAATACTAACCTCCTCTTCTTCCTCGTTCTCTTCCATGTTTGCCAGCTGGCTGGCATTTTCCAGAACAGCAGCTATTGTGCTGTTACCATCCATTGTTGCAACACCAGGGATAGGGGGAAATCCTAAGAAGGAAAGGAATATACAGGTAGAGAGCTGCATAAAACATACGCCCCGTCTTCCATATTTCCTCTTTCCTCTGAAGTTATTTCTATCTAAGTATCTATTATCTAATACAGTTCAGAATTCAAGAGCTAGACTGATACCAGAACAACAAAACCATGGTAGATTCAGTCTGACTGGCAGACCTAAAATCAGACCTCTCATAGATATCCAGGCTTGAAGGGATGGTGCTAAAATGATGCAAAAACAGAGCACGGTTTTCTAAGTTCAGCAGCTGGCATCTAGCCAAGCAGCCTTGCGACCTCAAGACTTCAGCAAGAGGTGCCCTCGGAACCGGCAAAGAATTTACTACCTCTCCTTTGCACAAAAGGACAGGTAGTACATTTTACCCAACAAAGTTGCTGGCTTTTCTCTCTCTCTACTGCCTCACCTGAGTTGGTATGTGGTCCAACAGAAAAAAAATCAGCGCTGCCCCGTACAGCAATAAACAACATAGCAATGAAGTCCAGATAACGCACTACAACATTAGCACCTGATATGCTGAAAATCCACTGCAATGCAGAGGTTGCAAAGTAAGGCAGAATCACAGTAGTTAAATGTGAGATGTATTAAGAACTATCCTTTTAATTATTTTATTATCCTTTTAAGGATAGGAGGAAGGCTTGATGACAGAAGATAAACTCTCACTTTCATGCTACCTGTTCAGTATCAGATTCAATCAGCAGAGACCCAGAGGGACTACTGCAAAGTATCTGTTAATAAAGTTTATATCATTAATACGTAGTAAGTCAATCTCGATGTCAGTCTCATCAGAAGTGTCAAGAAATAATAACTCAACTGCTTCTGAGCCTAGAGATGGTGAATATGGGGACAGAACAAGTCTGAGGTATATAGGCTAGCAGAACACAGAATCCTATGCTGCTGCCCCCTGCGTGATCCTTGATCCATTACTAAATAGCGTTTCCGTCTCCAGGGAGGTCAAGACTGGTACTGTTCACCATCTAGACGCAGTGAAATATATACACTGCCAGTCCATTGCAATCTCCTTGCTGGTTTGAGTGACTCTCACAGTTATCTTCAGTGAAAATTATATGGCCATAAAACGATGGCTGGAAAACACACAGCTAAGATAACACAAGGAAATTGAGAAGTTATGCAATATTTTCAGAGTTTAAACATGGAGCACCTCACTCTTACAGCAAGTGATATTTACCAGGAAATGGATCATGTTCTAGAACAAGGGTTGCTAAACTGCAGTTCAGGAACAGCTGAATACTAAAAAACACTTCAAAGCAGCACCTGGCCTGACAGAGTTGGCACTGCCTACTAGCGTACTTGCCTTTGCCACAACCTGGTGGTGACCAAAAAAGCCAAAACAAAACAAGCCACAAGGTTTGTGCCCCTTTTCTAGGGTTTTTTTTTTTTTAAAGAAAAAAATGTAAGGAAAAAGAACAAAACAAAACAAGCAAACAAACCCAAAACACCTTTAGGCACCACTTTGCAGTGGTGATTGTGTTCTACCACAGGAACAAATCAGGCACAAGGTAAAAGTAGTGACACTTCCAAGAAGAGTGTGGCAGAAATAGCTAGATAACAGATAAAGTATCATCCAAGTCAGAGGTGGAGGAGATGTAGACCGCCTTGCCCAAACCTTTACAGACACAGGACTATACATTCTGAAGAAGTTTTAAAAAAAAAAAAAAAAAAGGCGGCACGCTGTCCCAAGAAGCACATTCAGTTTCTTCTTCCTCTGTCACTGTCTCAATGCGACCATGGACAGGACTCACTTCACCTCTGCATACACTTTTACAAGCCATGAGAAGAGAACTGCAATACTCATCTGCCTCATCAGCTGTTGCAAAGGGATGTTTAACTAAATATATAGTGTTCTGAGGCTCTCGCGGAGAGGGAATAGAACGGGAAATATTAGGCAAAATTTTTCCAGATTTCAAAATCCCCTTCCAGTAAACTAAATCCAACGTACCCCAAGCTTATTATTTCCTCTAAGAGGGCAGGCCCAGTACACAGAAGGGTCCAGAAGGGCATTTTCATCACCTGCCCATAGTTAAATTGTTTAACTTCTCAAACAGAGCTGGTCTCAAGTTCTGATACTGTCAAACAGGTAGTCAATGCCCAGTAATCTTCACTAGTATGAAAGTTCAGGAGCGTATTAATAAGCCGTTTCACAGTGTATTCTTCAGTGCCATCAAACAGCAAGGCCAGCCTACTCTCTGAGGAAAGAGAAGAGCTGCTCCACAGCATGAGGAGGCCCTATCTGCACAGCTCTTCCAGAACTCAGCATATCTACAAGAGTTTGCATTAGGACATTTTATTTTCACACTTACCGGGAGGAACAGGTAGCTCAGAAAAATTCACTTTTCTCCCTGCTTTATGGGCTCTTATAGCATCCTGGTATTGCTGCAATGAAAGACATTCACTGAGACATAAAATGGAGTAGACTATAAATTAGCAATCATCTACATTTAACCAGCATAAGCACTGAAGAAGATAGAATACTTTGCTATAAAACTATGTGCATACCACTGCCCTTTAATTCTGAAGCCAATGCTGCTTCATTGATTATTTGCACCTGTTTCTGAAACAGTGAAAAGGGCCGGGGGAAGGCAAAATGCTGCTTCAAAACCCAAACTTTCCTAAAATTTTAAATCTGTAAGTTACCTCATCCATGTATAGTCTTTTTAGCAGACAGAAATCTTTGGACTGGAACTCAGCTCTGCCATTTCTACAGCTCAAAAAGGGACACAGCATTTTTTAATTCTTCTGGCATGAAGGTCCAGAGATGCTCTACATCCTCCTTCTTAACCCTCACATACAGCATATGCCCTGCCTCAGAACTAGTTTCAGCACAGCTGAACACCAGTACTTTTGCTTCTCCTTCCCCTGAATGCTTTACAGCTTCCTGTTGGAGCTCTTTTCAACTTGAAGGACAATACAAATCCA